AATATATATGGACATTTAACACTCACTCACACACTAACACACTGTCACTAGTTTCACAGTGTTCTAGTAAATGCACTAATATACACACACCTCTTGTTCTCCATTACCTGTGCTGATAATAAGTGACCTCCAAGTCATCTACTACCTATATATATAGACTGCAGCCACATTTACATTATATTATTATTATTCACAAACATCTTATGGGTACATAAGTGTTGTGAAGAAACCAATTCGGGTTTCTTCAGAAAATGCAATAATATAAAAGAAATACTGCATACGTATTGCATAAGGACATAGTACAGGAAGAAAGATTTAGTACGTAGGAAGAAAGATATGGTACGATTTTATTCCCTTAGTTTAAGGAAAGACAGAGAGTGTATACACGGACGCCAATGTGATCGATTCTGAGCCATGTCACCCACAGTCTCCAACCATTGGTTACGATAGGGATGCGGACTCCAACTAAATAGCTGGATCTACCGACATAGGTCAGACCAAACTTTGTTGACTGATGCCACGTTTCGATTTGGCCGCCCCTGGCTTTCTTCCAACCATCCCCAACACCTGTTAGCATTGCACGTCGTGGTAATCGGTGTTCAGGCATACGCAACAAGTGGCCCAACCATCTCAGTCGATGAAGATCTACAACCTCGTCAACTGATTTACCATCATTACCCAATACCCTGCGTCTAACCTCACTATTACTTATTCGGTGATTCCATAAGATACGGGAAATGATCCGAAGGTATCTGCGGTCAAAGACTTGTAGCTTACGAGTATCTCCAACTCTTAATAGTCATGCTCCGCAGCCGTAAAGTAGAACGGAATGAACTTCCATGCAATATACTCGTCCTTTTATTGATAGAAGGATATCTCGCCTTCGCCATAGGTGACGTGAAGTTGTCAATGCGTTCGACTACTTCACTCAGATCAGTACCTAAGAATTCAGCCGACGAGAATTTTATTTCCATCACTAGGTCTATGATGAAGTTAAACAGACATTGAGAAAGTGGACAGCCTTGACGAACACCAATTGAGGTTGCAAAAGCAGACGACAATTCGTCATAACCTCTTATTCGACTGGTAGTGTTCGAGTAAAGAGCTTTTACAAGGTTTATGTACTTCTGATGTACGCATTTCAATGACAGATAATGCCACAGAATCTTGCGGTTTACGGAGTCAAATGCTACTTTTAAGTCAAGAAGGACCACCATTGTCGGATGCCGATAAGTATACCTGTGTTCTAGAGCCTGACGAATGGTGAATGTGTGGTCGATGCAGCAACGACCAGGTCTGAAGCCAGCTTGATTCTCTCGTGTTTGCAGCCCACGAGTTTTAGTTAGCCGTCGGAAAATTATCGGGGCTAGTATTTTAGATGTACATATCCTTCCGAGTTCTTACGGAGCCATTTACCGGAACAGCACATGAGCGACTAATAGTGGAGATCCACTCTAATAGTGCTTATTCAGCGCTCATGCCTACACCTGCCAGTCAACGAGATCTGGTCACCGGGTAGCCAGATATACGAAGGGTGTATCTCATCGGCTCTCCGTTTTGGCGAGGAGAGGTCAAGTGAATCACCACACTAGGATCCTGAATGCGTGTTTCGGAGACACATCGTACATCAATGGTACGAGATTCTAGGGTTTTAGCTAAGGAGGTCTGCTGACCGATTTGACACAGTGTGCGTACTTTGAAGGCTCCAATGTGCAGTTTTGCGCGAGGTTTCAGTAGACCTGGGACGGTGTTTTGCACACTAGAATCTTTGGCTTTGTTGACACTTGAGGAAGGAACCAAACGAGGAAGTATAGTATCGAACGTCGATGTTAGAGGAATAATATGAACTGGAGAGGGAGGTTGATTATGAAAACAGTGGTCTTGAGTGCTGCTAGAAGTATGGGAGCGATTATCACTTCCCGGATGCCCACACCGTGGGAGGGTTGTTTTGGAGGTATCTGAAGAGGAAATTGGATTATAGGTGGTCTTAGTGACCTGGGAGCGTGACTGCAGTGGCCAAGGTACAACTGTTTGAGGTAGGTCAAAACAGACCTTCTATTTAGAAGTTTTCGTGTTAGCTTCGTACATGTTGAGACCTTTCCGCCAGGGACGGATATTCGTGGGAGGTGTGTGTTACTGGGGTCGACCTTTTCTAACGCCATTCCTCCTTGTCGGAAGGCAGCATCGCTGTTAGATTGGTTGTCTGAAAGAAACACCCTACTGTTGTCACACCTCTGTACAGTCAGCAGTACGGCTTCGCCCTCGTACCTTCTATTTGTTGCTTTTAGTCCTACAGCTCTTCAACCGACCTGTCTGTCATGGTAGGACGTTGAGGAACGGTTGTTCTGGCAAGTGTTGCTCGGTGGCTTCATCAAGATAGGCAAGCCCAACCACCACGTCGAGGTGGCAACAACGGTCAAGAAGGTTGTTTATTGACAGAATATTGCTAGTAAAATTGAATACTCAAAACGGAACTGCAACATACTGTGTCTACTTCACATCTGACGATAGTACAATTTACCATTAACATTCGGAAAAGAAAATACTGTGTATTTGGCGATGATCATGTACTGGGAGCAGAAACTCATGAAATATAATGTTTAATGCTATATGGTCTTCATAAATAGTTCTTCATTGAAAAAATACATTCAATTAGAGATATTATGTTTTATAGAATGTGTTGTAACTAAGGTGATTCACATGGCTATATTACTAGTGTATTTGCCGCAACTAAGAAATGGTTAGAAAACTAAACCAACTCTTCTATATCATATTATCGTGAATATTATTTTTCATCAGTGTGTGATTTACTTTGAAATCAGCGAACAGTGAATTACTTTTAGTGATACACTGTGGTAAATTCAGTTCGACAGACTGTAAAAATCAAATAATACACACTCAATAAAAGTAATTAGTAATGAAACATGGAACTAAAATATACTTATGAAGAAATTATTTAAGAATAAAAGCCACGGGTTATCTTCATAATGTAAATACTACTTACAAGCAAGGCAGAAAATGTACTTATATAACGTATTCAAACGCAGAATCATCTGTATTACAGCTAACGAGACATGACATCAGCTGCAGAAAATTATTATCATCAGTAGTCACAAACTTGTGGTGGTCGGTATTTAATATAATCCTTGAACTTCGTATAAAGTTCGTCTAACATGGATATATATACATAGTGAAATGAATGAATTATCCAGTCAATTAAGTGGTTGGTATTAAGGCTAGCAGCGTGAGTAAATGCGGTAGGTAATGATCAAGCATACGTGTTCATACATTCTCAACAATAATCAAGGTACAATAATATAGATACGTTTTTGTTGTATGGATGACTCAGTTTGTTAATAAGTTAACAGGATCACTTAACCGAATGAAATGTGAACAAACTCAACTGCGCATTAGTTGCTATAAACTCAACAAGTTCAATTGCTCATTATTTAAAAACGGAACATTATTTTAACAGAAATGTGGTGAGGATTTAAGTTAAAATACGTAGTACGCCACTGTCAACTAGATATTCGAAGTAAAAATTCATAGATGTCTACCATTATTTCACCTAAATCACTCTGCTAAGCTATGGTATATGTATGTTGAAAGTAAAGTATGGCTTCCGCCTTTTGACATTGTCAACTTTTATGGCTACCTCAGCAATTGGCTTTTCAGTGAGACTAGATTTTCTTCATGTACCTCGTTGAAAGAAACATTGAACAAAAATTGAAGCCTAGACTTATTTTTTGAAATGCTTTCCCGGTCGTTTCTGTCTATCATCGGTAAATTGCATGGTGGAGACTTCCTAATGAAATTTTTATGGAAATCGGCTAAACTTGTTAATTTCGTAATATCTTATTATAATATTTGTCATACAAATAAACTCATTATGTGTGAAATTACTACTTATTCAGTCAAGTAGAAACCATACACTTCATTATCCGTTGGTAGATGAGCCAACGCTAAATGGTAGCATAACAGAGAGATTTTAGATATTTTTTCTACAAATGGAATATTGTAGATACTCAGCAATTTATCAAACGGTACAATCGTTAAATGATATCCAGGTCAATGTTGATCAAGTTACATGGATTTTCAAACGGAATCAGGTGAACTTTTTAATGAACTGTTTAGGTAACTATTCAGAATAAATGAACTATGGAGAGTTGATTTTCATACGATCCTCATCCAATGTCTGTTAATCATTTGGACTTTAAACAAAGTGAACTCCACAAATATCTTATTCTTACATTATATAGACAAAAAATTTGTCTCGAATTGGTCCTCATCAAGAAAAACTTATGTTAAAAGTAGGAAGTACATCTGTAATAAACCCCAGTTTAAACGTATATGCGAAGTTCTAATTTTGTGTGCTTACTGAATTTACCTTCGCACTACTGAATTGGACTAAGTGTGTACTACAGGATAGTTAAAATATATAAACTGAAGACTTCTCTCTTTGTCTAATCTCTGAAACAATTTAGTGTGAATACATGAAAATCCATTTGGTGTGCAATAGAACGAAAACATCAGGAGATGAAGTTGGGCTAATGGAAGAAACTTGTAATTGATGACAGATTATAGACAGTGACAACTTAATACATTTCTTAAATATTTTTTTTTTGAATAAACATACTTTGGAAGTGTGTTAAGCAAGAATTGATCGTCTACATTACAAACCTAATTCTCAAAATAAAATACAATGACAAAAGTTAAAATTATGAGCATATCTACTCTATTTATTGTTTCAACATTTAACACTCATTGAATTTATCATAAAAAGAACCATCAAAATAAACACCAAAATATGATAGATTGATCAAGCGATACATGTTTTAACGTGGTTAAGTTATACATACTAAGTTTATGTCAAGTTAAGGTAAGCTACCAATTAGTGAACAAAATACAGATACCTCCAAACAATATTCATTAATCAAATTTAATAAATGAGTTTCTCTCTCGACAACAACTAGAAGAATGTTGTTCCACGCGGTTTTCTTTTACTTTGGACAATATTCCTGAAAAATAAAACATCCGAGCATATGTAGTTGCGTAGGTGATTATTTCTCATCAATACAAACGTAAAACACTTTAAACATGAATAAACTCGGTTATTGAACTGTCGTTAAATAACTACTGACTGAAATATTTTTACATGAACCATGCAAAATAGAAATATGTATGTAATACACTGTGTGGTTCATGAATCCCTCCTTAAGTAGCCTTGTCTAGGAAAATGATTAACACTTTCAGGTGAGACCATATATTTTTGAACGACCTTCAAGTGAAGCCGGACTCACCTTGGGAGTTACTACCTAATAACTAAGACGAAATGAGGGTTATGATCTAGCGTGGGGAATTACGACTGTGATTTACAGTTGATTGTTAGGGTTAGGAATTAGATTAATGGTTTTCATCACCAAATGAAATCAGCTGTAATGCCAAATGGATGGGTGAGTTTTGCGCCCGTTATCTTATACCAGATTGGTTCGTCTATAAACTATAGTCTCGCCGATTTTCGCAGTCCGAAAACGTGTTTCAGTGAATAATGTAATTTCTCTTATGTGAAAGCTCAACAGGTTACACTATTGCTATAATACACTGATATATCTTTAGAACACCGTCCAACTAATCTCTCTCACGTAGGTAATTTATTTCCTTTTTGTAATTGAGATTTTTAAATGTCAAAAAGTAAAAGCAGCTGACGAGAACCGAACAAAATAAAGTGGTTTCATACTATTCTGCCAAAACCTAAGTCAGTGGATCGCTGGTTCAATATGTATATTAAGACAAAGTCAAAACCTATCAAAGCACTAGTTTTATTACATTTTGTGTCAATTACACATGATGCTCTGATTTATAAATAGCTGATGTCAGGCCCGCATGTAGATATTGTTAGTCAGAAAAATTCGGAACTTTATGTTTTCCCTTTCAAAATAAGAGAACTAATACAAGTGAATTTGAAATAACTCTGCTGATCATTTCTGGATAAATTTCTACTGATAAATTGGTCATTATTGATCGTTTCTTGCATCAGCGTTTGATAAATAAAGACCCATCCATAGATGTGGTCGTTGATGTCACCTATGTGAATTAAGGTTTTGTCATATTTTCGGGCGTTAAAAAACGCGAACATGTTGTTTATCTGAAATCAGTTGATTATTATTGTCTTTAATAGTTGAATTCGTGATTCGATGCAAGAAAGACCACCTTTGTAAACCTAGAGGCACTGGACGGCCGTTTCATCCCAGTATAGGACTCCTCCATTCGTGACATCAATTTGAACTCAACAGTCTTCACAACTCCACACTGATCGTTGCCATGTTCTCAATTATGAGTGGCTTCCAGATGGATTTCCTGGATTTCGTCACCAAATGCAGTCGATTTGAATCCAATAAACACTGACAACACACTATATAGTTTTATATGGATACATATTATATGAGCAGAGCAGAATAGGCATACAAAATGACGTCAGAAATGAAATCGAGTCATAGACAAAGTAAAAAAGTGTTTAGTGATAGACGAAAACATGAAGTGAAATTGTGAGATACGCAATCTCAAAACATATCAATCTGTTATGGAGTAAATTTTATAGACATATGTAATATAAATTACGTTAAATGTTGTCTTTATCTAACACAGTCGCAACCTTTTATTAATCCGCAATAATCAGCTGTTTGATCCTTCACCATTTTACATCCTACCGTAGAATTAATTTCTTGATTATCATCCAATCTTACTTTAAATTATATATCATATTATCAGATACATTTAAACAATTAGTAATTTCCATGTCAAATCGCCTTACACTTCAAATGGATATTCAATCTCTGCAGAGTTTCAACTCTAATCATGTTACAATCTACATATTGATTTCAACTGTTTTCTCAGTTTATCGTGATACAAATTTTAAAACTACATCTGTGTTATTAGAGTAACTCCATTTATCACTTTTTAATAATACAGTTAGAAATCACTGCAACTCACCTTACACAGTGACGTGCACTTTGGACATTGTATATCGATTAAAACATTTCCATTTCCCACTTGTTGCTCTATATGTAATGGTCCACCTTCAACAGGACACTGAAAGGCCTTATCGTTAAATATCACCAGAACACCAGTATTTTTTGAACATTGGAACTGACAGATTTTGCAATCAAGTTAAGGAACAATCAGTAGACAATTAGTTTTAAATTGAATAGTAGTCAACTTTAAGAATCAATTTCCACGAAAGTGTCCATCTAACTAGTTAGGAAAATATCTATACCATACCATACCAGAACAGACGGAATTTTCACCTAGGAATATGTACACTATTTTTAATTTGTCTGTCAACGCACGCGTTATTATGTTCACTCTTACATTTTGCTTGTTGAATTTTTTTAGTTTCTGTTACTTGCCATGAACCAAAATTAACACCATCTTAACGTCCACTGATTCAGCAGGCACACTGAACACAGTATATTGGAAAATTGTTCAGACAAAGCGGTTCAATTCGTATCACCATCTAGATACACTGATTTTAATGTCTTGGAAGTGTACTACGAATATTGTTCCAAAGAATTCAATATCGTGCATCATTTGCCAACGCTAAGGCAAGTTTTGAAAAGCGCAGAGCTGGTCAGATCATGACATTTTGTAGTGGCATAAAGGAACTTTGTTCAGGACTGGTTTCTGTTTGCTCTTCAAGACATTCCGGTTGACTTCCAAGAGATGGTGAAACTCAGCCTCTCTGGATGTTAACATTCATGACCTAGAATACTGGAAGTGGTGGTCCGATGGTAGGCTACCTTCCTTTCCCCTATATAACTGAGAGGATCCTATGGAAATAAAAGAATCGTATTCGCTGTTTTTGACTACTTTTAACCCTCACCTACCTAACTTTATCTATCTCTTGTTCCTTTTTCAATACGCTTACATTCCTTTCTCTACCTCTTCACAATCTTATTTCCTTTTGTTACACATAAATATCATCGAGCACACGAATTCTATTTCACTCTAATATGACTTACTTTATGACAAGATGGTTTCTTCTCATCAATGTAAGTTCCTGATATGTTAACATATTTTTGTTTTTGGTCATTGAAACAAGCTGAATTAGGACCCCTATATTCCATAAACATGTTTGATATTGAATCTGTAGAAAATCAACAAATACATATATATTTATATTTAATATAACAGTAAATTTGTAGAGAACTAATTTCTCTTATCATGGTACATTAACATTCTACCAACGTATATATTCTGACAAGATGAAATTTCACTGCAGTTCATGAAATCAACATTTTTTCACAATACAATCATACAATACATTTCTTCCTCTTTATCATCACTTTCCCAGCATACGAATTATGTGTCCAACTAGAAATATCAAAAATCTACACATACAAAAGACTTAAATCTATTATTGACTAGCACTGACCATAATACTTTTTAGTAAGCAGTTGGCTAATAACGCCGAAAAATATTTATTTTATGTTGATAAATCTAGTTTCAATGTAATAATTGATGATTACCAAAACTTTTTGGCTGTCATCAACTGAGGAAATATAAGTAGCTTTTGTTTCGACAATCTTCATTTTAGCAGAGTATATTTGGGATAAATTTTGATGTATTCTGTACAAGTGTTAAACTCTACTTATTGATTTGATATGAAATATGAATAAACATATTGAAATACATATATTCAGAGAGGGATTTTGTGGATATTATAGTAATCTAATAGTTGAATTCATGAGTCAATTGAAGCTAGACCACCATGATAAACCTGGAAGCACTGGACGTACAACCTGTCCAACTATGGGACTCATCAGCAGTGAGCAACCAGGACCCTACACGTAAGACTTGAACTCACAACTTTCAGTCTTGCGTGCGAGAACTTAACCACTGGACCACTGAACCAGCCGGTATCCAATGGTGTCAATGTCTAACTTCTTCCAACACCGTTAGATGCCGCTCAATAGTCTAATGGTTAACTGTGGTTCGAATCTCACGGGGATGGATCGTGGATGCGCACTGCTGAGGAGTCTTTTTGGAAGACGGATCGACCGTCCAGTACGTCCCGTTTTTCCTTCGTGATCTAGCTTCAGTTGACCGTCAAAATACAGGTATGGTTAATGAGTAAACAAAATAGGTGGACAAACAAAATATGTTTGTGAACAAACCTGGTTTTATTTCACTTTTCTGCTCGCATAGGTATGATTTATTATGTTCATTCGATTGAACCTAAATCGAATTGTTTTTAAACACAGTAAATATAGTATGTATGAAGTATCAAAAATTCACTGTCGTCTCAAATAAATTTTTCTCCGTATGACTGGATGATTTAGAATAGGAATGCAGGTGCAATATCGAAATCTGTTTCCGTAAGAAACCATTGATAAGATAATCAGTGTTTTATGATGATATTGATGATTATGTGTAAGGTTTTATCTCTGTAAGTAGACGAACAAGCTTTCACGTGAATTCCTGAAAAGCGTCAAGATCACCTATTACTTCACAATACTTCTAAGAAAGAACAGATTCGGTGATTGAAATGATTATTTGTTTCAAAATGATTTTACAGATTATATGACTCTGAATAGCTGTAATATCTCAAGGAATCAGAAATAAAATTATTTACAACACGTTTGCATACCATTGTATGAAAGACCATACGAATGCATGCATCTCTTAGTTAAATTACTTACTAAGTAACTAGTGAAATGGTGTACTCACGAAATTTACTGATAACTCGGTTCGTCAACTAGCTAAAGACTGTCAAATGCACGACGTGAGTGGTTTGATACATTCACTTTGATTGTCTGATCAACACACTTGTTTCTCACATAATCATCATACGACTGTAAAATAGTGTGACTTACTATGAGGACTGGACAGTAGTCAAAAGCCATATGGCCTCCATACTTCCTCTTTTGTGTGTCATTAAAAGGGAACAAATTATCCATATACTGATATTTTTCATCTAACTGATTGTCGTGTTGATACAGTGCACAAATACCGACCCCGTTTTCATAACCGGCGCATTTTGGTTCGTTCGGAATACCACAGTAGGGCTCAATGTCTTGTCCTCTGGGAAAAAAGAATTTTATTTTTATTGGGATGAAAAATTACCACAATAGCTCAACAGCAATTATATCTACTTACGTCATCACGTGGATAAATCAAGAATGATGACAAATTATTTTGTGTAGATGATGCTATACCTACATCCTTGCTTAGTTGCTCACTCTCAGACTGATCTTCGTGACTTCAGATTCAAATGTGGACGTGTCTTTCAGGGGGATCCTCAATGCAGGTTGAAATTATTATGTCGAAAAAGTATGGTGACCATTATGATACACACTGACGGACATATGTCAAAAACCAGGTTCAAAATCAACCAAGGGAGAATACAAATCTTATTGTAAATAGTTAAGACTAATGAATACAAACGCTTCAACATGTTACATAGTTGAAGATTGTCACTTTTCTCCTGACATTTTGAAATTCGGGTATGTTCTCGTCAAGAATATTGAGATTTTGTGGTCTCGATCTGACATTTTAAGTAAATGTATTATCTAGATAACTGTTCCTCAACTTGAAGCTTTTCAGCATTGAATCACTTCATCATGAAACACATGATAAATTTTCATTACAAATCAGTAACGATTACAGCTGAGTTGAAGATTGTAATTGCTGGACTGTATGTGTTGAAAAATGTAAACATGACTGATAACGAGATCAAATTCATAGGCCGTTCATATGGTTCAACTGTTACTCATACTTGTGAAGCGTTAAGAGAGGCAATTTTTTAGTTGCTCAATATAAATTTACAAAAGATCAAGCATAAACACATAATGTGTCTATTTTACCTGCTTTTTCTGTCCTTGATGTATTCATAACAGCTCTTCAACACGAAATCACAACCCAAGCCTTTTCCCCATTTGAAATCATCGGCCATAGAATAGTCGACATCGTACATGCTTTAGTGAGCGAAATAGATTGAATAAGACTGTGATTACGAGAGATTGTGGTGTGATGATATTTTGAATATTGATTTGTTATTTGAAATTAATTTAGCTTACTCTTTTATTTTTCAATACAGGTTGTGAGGTCAGAGGACGTGAAGACTGCAAGTGTTGTAGATCTAGACTACTAACATCATATATAAGGAGAAGTCGTGAGATACTTCCAATGAGTTTGACCGATTGTTGTCTAACTAAGCATGACTAACAAGCACAAACGAATTTCAAACTTGAAAGGCGTTTAGAGAAAATTATTCAAATATGGAAGTATCGCTTTATGGCTTGATCGTAATATAATGGTACTCTACACTGTACAAGTTGAATTATTCGTCGGTTCCCTTATTACCGTTAGTACTATATTTTTCAGACATTTATTGACCGATCCACGATAGAAACCTATTGAGTCATCAAAGAGTGGGAATAAATAACAGCTCAAAAACTTCGCTTTTTGATGATCCGACCTTCTGAAACTATACAAATGTAATTGCGATTAGCTTCTGAGAATAGAAGTTTCAACCGAAACAGATGATTGCTTCGTCATTATCACACGTGATGAAGTATACCCAAATATCAAAGACTTTGAGTAGTACATACCTTTACATAAATGTAGGAGTTTTTCGCTGTTAACAATCATCAATTTTTTTCGGAATATTATCACATTACAGCATGAGAGCAATTAGCTAATCATACGAATATTCACTGACATTAGAACGAATAGTTTGACGAAAAATGGGTGCCGAATACAGAGAATGCGTCATATGTAAAAATTATATTTGAAATGATATTAGCGTTTGAAATTCAGATAATTTCAACATTTAGTTAAATGTTCTATACCGTTGCTACTGTAACCATTGTCCAAAGAAACAATATTACAGATATTGTTACATCGTTGTAAATATTTTAAATACGTCTACTACAAACAGTGCTTGAGGTGCCCTGTCTTGTGTAGACTCATGGACCACCACAAATTGTGGCTTTTCGATTCTAAATTAAGACAGTAACATCAAGGGAGCTTTTTTACAAAACTATGTTAGTTCAATGAAAATAATTTTTGAAAGTCGATTACAGTCGCGACCGCAGAACGAACAACAAGTGCAGGTTGGAAAGCGTTTGGTTATTGTTAGTTCCATATTATTGTCAGCCTTTATCTTTGCTTTAATGGAAACAAGAAGTTTCATACACATAGTTCCCTTTATTATTTTAAAGAGAGCAAGAACAAAAATTGGAAACAAGAAGAATATCGAAATCTTGGTCGACAAAAGAATAGTGTCGATATTTTCAAACCTCCAATGTCCACATGTCACTTCTAATTGCTTTATACTGTGCCTCTGAGATGATATGCGTACAATTTAAGTTCACATATGAGAATTATCAAGCGAAAGCGAGTTGTCCCACTTAGATTCGTCGCATTTATCGTGAACATAAACAACGTATCTCTTTTTGTCACAGTACAGTATTACAGTGTGTGAAATTTGTTTCACACTGCAAAACCAGTTATGAAATCCAGTCAATAGCTGAGGGTCACGCATTGTTGCACATTCGTAAATTCAAAATTGGCTGTAGTTGTCTTTGGTAGACAGAGTTATGTTCTACGGTTTATTTTGCATTCACACACAGTTTATATTGATTAAGTTTCCAAGGATGACCGGTGCAGGAGTGAATAAGTCGTTTTAGTACGTCTTATCTGTTGCATTGAATCAGGTATCTTTCATGTAAACATTTGTGAAGATTACCACGATTTAATTATTCTCATATTTCAACATGTAACACTTACTTTATATCCTCGAAATACGCCAGAGTTATTCTTGACACACGGTTTGACTCCAATAGATAAGGTGTCATCAAATCATTCTGATGAATGTGGGGTTGCATGAAAACATTAGGAATAAATCAGTATGGAACTAATATGATTGTGTTTCTTTCGCATCACCATTCAAATTTCACTATGAATACTAAAAGCTCAAGTTCAAATTTTATATTAAATTTCTGCTATTCTTCTCAAATATGCCGTATTATTGATCCTTTATTCACTTACAAAACGTGTGTGGTTATACCTATTTGTGGTGCTTTTATCGTACAGTAATCTTCGATTCTAAATAAGGACAGCAACACCAATGAAGCTTTATTCATAAAACTACTTCAGTTTATATTGATTCATGTCTACGGAAGACAGGTGCAGGAGTAAATAAGGCGTTTTAGTACGTCCCAACTATATTACGTCATATTAGGTATCTTCCATGTAAACATTTGTGAAGTCTATTACGATTTATTTATTCTCATATTTCAACGTGTAACACTTACTTTATACCCTCGAAATAAGCCAGAGTTATCATTCTGATGAAAGTGAGGTGACATTGAAACATTAAGAATAAATCAGTATGGAACTTATATGATTGTGGTTCTTTCATATCACGATTCAAATCTCACTATGAAAACTAAACGCTCGCGGTTAAATTTTACATGGGATTTCTGCTATATCGTTCAAAACTGTCGTCCTATCGGTCGTTTATTTATTTACAAAACGTGTATCGTTTTATCTTTATGTGCTGCTTCTATTCAGTACCAAACGCTGTGTAAATATTGACGCTTTTAATTGTATTTTGAAAATAAATTGCATTAGCAAAAATCCTCAGTGATTTACGGTATTCATGTGTTGATGCATTTATAGATACTACAGTTGGTTTTGTTCTGACTTGACAACAAGAATTGCTTCGAATACATGCTAAGTTATTACTTATCAGGCTGGGAGCATTTCTCATTTTACGATGCTTTACTACCGATTTGTGACATCTGATTTACGTAATGCTAAATCGAGCGTGTTGAAAAGCCTAACAGTGTCGCAAACAATCTATGAAGCATCATACGAAGTTTGTGAATATCTAACTGGTTTTCTACTTCAATGTTACATGTTAAACTATCTTTCATTTAATGCACTCAGAACAACGTTGATACTTGTTATATTTTACTTCTCTACATACTCAAACAACAGTGTGCATACAAACGTTTTCTGTATATGGAAAATCAAACATGTTCTACATGAACAGTATTCAGAGGACAGATTATTCTGCTGAATGAATAACTAACTTCAAAAATCTATGGTATAAGCAAACTCACTCCCATTACTCTGTGACTCAAATGGTTTTCATCCAGCTCGATTCCTTGTAGTTGGCTGCAGTCGAAATGTTCTCTTGCTTCCTTCTTCATTCAGATAAACGATGTGAAGTGTCATTAGGCGTTATCAATAAAAGGTCAATTAATAATAAACAAAAATCCTCATAATGTAAACTCAAGTTAGTAATTGATGCATTAAAACAAGAGGCATAAGAAAGAAGCGAGTTGCAGATGAATCTGGTTCAGATGCGTGATTTAGAAGTATTCGTGTTGTTTTTGGATTGAATATTCACCACAAACCAACTAGTTAAATCTAACCGTATTGACATTGGTGTGAATTATAATACTATGGTCATTTTCACTGCATTTGGATCAGTCTGGATTGGCAAATGCTTGCACTGGATTCCACTTCCGGCTATATTCCATCCATTCTCAACAAACTACTGCTACACTTTCCAATCAATTTCGTTATCACCGAATTCCAGTTGAATCAATGACAATGACTTATATAAAACCTCTTCACAAATCTAGAAAACAATTGTTCGCTTACATGTATATATATATATATATATATATATATATATATTACTCGTGAGATCTATGTTTATGCATGTCACCTAGAATTCTTTGGATTTAGTTCGATCAAGTGGAATTTCAAGTCACAGAGAATGTGAAGAAAAGTAAAGTAAAGGAATCCATCAAATAGAGTAAAACATTTTCCCAAATTGTCATATTCAAGGATTCGTTGAGAATGACGATCATTGGTAGTATTTACGTTTCAGATGTTGACATGATGCAGTTTAGTAGAAATGATTCTCTGTTTAAACGAAGTCAATATGCAACTTACCAGCATCTTTGGTAGACTGAGAATTTTCTTTTGTATTTTGTAGGTTCCTTTAGTTGATAGCCAAGATAGCGTTATGTTTTGAACAGATCTAGGGATTGGAACACAAACATACAGTGATGTAGATTGAACCTTTTTTAAACGTTAGTTACTCCACTCAAAACAAACTTCTAAAGTCTAGAAATAAATTGCACGTATCGGCTAATTAGAAACGTATATTTTATATGATCTGTTACCCTGTCACTTCCATATGGATTATTCTGGCTTTTCGGCAAACCATGTAGTTTATTCTTGCTTATACATTGGACCCACACGTTTTGACTTTGTGAGCTATCCGCTTATATTTGTTACTGTTTAGTACTTTATAAATCACACGTCATTAGCTTATGTTTTATCATACCTTTATCAAAGGAATTTAGAATGCTATCACACTGATTTCTGTCTGAGTAAACCAGTGCCTGAAGTATTTTCGTTTAGCTTCATTCGTATTTGGTTTTTTATCACAGCCATCTCTCAGACGGAGTTGTGAGAAGCAGAATCTGCAAAGTCAAACCGTGTATATACGTTCATCGTTCAATCATTGTTTGTTTATAATGATCAGAAAATAGTTTTTAGTTTTAACAGACACTGTGTAATAATTACGTAATTAATTTGAACATTCCAATTGAGAAATGGATGGAATAACATGCCTTTGTGCTCTAGTTTTGATGCTTAAATATTCCCACGCGACAATCCAGCCTGATTATTGCTCTTAGCAATAATCAACTACTGATATCTTTGATAGGGAACAATAGGATTAACATGTGAATGAACGCTTGTTCCCAAAGCTCATCTGTATACAGAAACACGGGTTCCTATAGTACGCTTGCATTTCCTTTACGTTTCGAACTGCGAATTTCAATTTTCAACCAACAAAATATGTATGCTCCTTTAAAATTATGAACACATACATACAGATAATAAAAACAACAGTTTACTACTTGTCAGTTAATACTCACGGAATTTTCACTGGTTTCATCTTTTGCGACTCAAAAATTGAGGGATGAAATCCCTTATGAAGAAAAGAAGAAATTAATGTGGTCTAATTTCCTACTCATTTTGTACTCAACAATTAAAATGTTTATTTAAAACACAACACTTGTTTTAAGAACATCAGTTTTATACTGTTTGATTCAGATCGTTGACCGATTGATGTTGGACCACAACTGAAAACCTGGAACTACTGGACGACCGTTTCTTCCAATTGTTGGTTTCCCCAGCATTGCACATCCACCATCTCGTTCTCGGGATTCCGACCCGAGGTCTTCGAACCCGCGAGCGAATGCTTGACCACTAAACCACTGAGCTGGTATCCAACATCGACCAGTTCATAATCTCAACCAATAATGTAATAATCTTCACAATCCATACTGATAATTTTATGGTATTTCGATTTTGCAGTGAATTCAAACATTGTTTTATACATTAAATCATCATATCTACATTTTATAGTACACCATATAGAAATCGCTTAGTATCTTCTGTCTTTACTGCTAGACTGTACACTATTCAACTGAATTTAATTTTCCATCAATTTAAAGTGTTTCTCACAGTGCGAAGTTCATATAAATAATGTACAATCTACATAAGCATCACAATAATACATATTTTTGATATTATTCCCATATTTGGCTAATTTAGTTCAGAGAAACTTGTGTAATGATTAATTAATTGTGAGAAGTTCAAACGCGAATGCACAGATTGTAACAGCTGACAAATCACAAGGAAAATGAATTTGTGATCAAAGTAATTAAATAACTGCACTACTCATCGAACTAACCAAATGCTGAACGAAAAAAATTGTCCGTATGTCAACATACTGAGACCATATTTCATAAACTGAAAAGAACTTACCAGTATATGAGCCATTTCATGCTTCATCACATTGACCAGTTCGCATCGGATATTGTGATTGATTCTTTCTCAGGCAGACAATAATTCAATACGCCCAAAATAGGCCTGTAGAATTAAACACAAGTATTGGATTACATTACTTATAAAGCTTCAGCTCATTACTAATTATTTTTCCACGATATATTGTACCGAAAAGGGACGTTATGTGTATGATAAAGGTGAAGATAGACAGTCACACTGAATATAATAAAACTACATTATACAGAAAAAGTGCTTACATCCAAATAAAATAGTCATTCCAAGTGAACGCAACACTACAGAAACGGCATACTCAATCCATCAACATATAACATGAGACAAATGGTTTATCCTAATGCAAGAAAACACCTTGGTTCTACACATATACAGTAGGTGTGGAATATTCTGAGCATTGTATCTGTTGATGTACAATTTATATTTTATCGGCCATAAGTGAATCCAGTTGATAACACCGTGAACGTGATCACAGAGGGGATTTCGAGATATTGTTCAACTAATTCGAGATAATTGAGGTGTACTTGTTTGTTCATCGTATGGCACTGTGATATTATAATATTCTGTTCTGGTGCTGTTTGGTTGCTCTCATCACTGGTGGAAATCATCAACACACAAGGCGAACCTGTATCAAATAACATGAACTAATCTCCCTTTCAAAATGATATCTACATAGATATGAGGTCGAACGTTGTCAGCCGCTGTTCAGCAATAAAGGTTTCATAATAAACAGCTGTTAGTCTCTTAAGGAAAAGTCTACATTCATAATATTTCCACCATCACAAAACTTTATTGACAGTGCCGTAGGTGACTTGCTCACAAAAACCCTTGAAAATATTTTAGGCTGTCTATATTCAGAACGCTTTATCGCACCGCAGCATTATTTGATTTATAACACGATATTGGTTGCAAATAAACAGTTACAACATGAGGAATTCAAAATCCTATATATCTTTAGACAAGTATGTTAGGCTTTGAAGTCGATCCGTTAGAACAGTTGTTCTGGTGATCTTATCGAACCATCGGTTAATTTGAACAAACACTCTTTTGTCAATATACATATTAGATACTAGAAAAAATGTGTAGTTCTTTGGTCATTCATACAAAAAGTGAAACAACATAGATAATATAAAAAGTGCTACGGTCAATCATCAACTAAATGTAATTTCGTCATTATATTTTACTTATATAAATAACTAGAAATGGAGAAAATCTCACGTTGCATTTAACACGAAATATCTAATAAACTGAATATTTTCACCAGTAAAAATGTAGCCTACCTTCCAGTACTTGGATGGGTGTCAACTAGTTGACCATTAACATGTGTACATTTATCACTCTGTGTTCTACTTGAGTCCGCCACAATTATCAATAACTGATTGGGAGCTAATCCAGTGCCTTGTGAATAAACTATTCCATATTTTTCTTTTCCTTGATGATAACATGACTGAAAAAATATAATAGAATATTATGACCGGTATAGCATAATATGTGGTTTCGTTCCAGTCAGTTTAATGTAAATTTGTAGACAATGTTTTTATTGCGAACTATGATTTACGGATCTATTGAGCAGAGTGTACTGGTTTCCGTAGAATGGATTTCGAAATCCTGTCACGTAAGCTTAACCAAAAGGAACTATCTGTGGTTCACGTGCGTTGCTTTATCTGGTGTGTGAACATTACAAATAAATACAAAGTGATCATGAGGATTTTTACAATATATCATACATATCATAATAACCGCTGAAGCCTAAGGTAGATGTAACTAAACCAGAGTACATGCATTCCAGCATGAAGTCAGATGCACGCTATATTATACATTCTTGGATCATGATAATGATCCTTATGCAGCTTCACCTTCGGAAACTTCGTTACAATTTTTTTGTCCTCTAAATAGTCAAATTAGGTCATCTTGTCAGTTACATGGCAAAGCCACTGCAACGACATAAATCCAACAACCTCACTAAGCCATTCAATCAGAAGTAGAAACGGGGAGCGTGTACAAAAAAGCAGGGACATAGTCAGCGCAAGCTCATGACTTGCACTTATTAGGAATGCCTCGTTCACGAGGAACAGTTGCCAGACTGAATCTCAGTCACGACGATGATGAAGTAGTTTGCTCAACCCTTTCGAGCCAGGTTTCAAGACTCTCTGGCACCGCCTGTGCAACCTACCACTGGCTCTGAATATCTGGGGGCACTAGAGACCTGTTTTTGTTCAATGTCGTGTGACTGACATGTGCCGCTTATCCTTCTGAGGAGTGAAAGCTGGCATCGCACCTGTCGGATCACAGCCACACTACTCCTTAAAACAGAAATAGAGGCCGCGCCCTAAACAAACACAGAGGAACAGTTCATTATTTAGCAGTTAAAAGTCTCGTTCGTTACCGGAACTAACCAGACGAATCACCTCACCAACTAAGAACGAAAATGTATGTCTAAATAAGTTATGCAAACATATCTTATTTACTGCTACACTTACCGACAAATATTTGTTAGGAATTCTAACACCTTGAATTTCTCTATCTTGTTTACAGTAAGAGTCCACACATGATGGATTGTTGTTTTTCATTTCTACCAAGTGTCCATCATTCGTACATTCTCTTTAAAACCATGAAATTTGTTAAGAATAAAGAAAGCAATAGAGATGGTGAAAAATTGGCAAATTGTTTTAACGTTAAAGCTTTAAAGTGAATATATATGTCAATATATGTTCATGAATTCTCAATAGAGTTGAACTCTAATGGTGGTGTTTTTTCTTTGAACCTCCTTTAAACCATATTGAAATCAGTCACAAGTGAAATTTCACAGACTATATAAAACTGTTTTCCTCATTTAACGCTTTGTTGAATGATATGAACAGGAAGTTATCTACAAAGTATATTGCATGAAATGTTCAAGGATCGTGACCACCAATGATGTTAGATATAGGTATTTGTTCAGTTAAAATTACTTCAAAGATTATATATATATATATATGTCAGAGAACTTTTCAAAGCGAAGTAGTTCGTTTTGAATACATCAGCTTAACAATTATTGTTTACCTTCGAAAGTGCACTGGTTTCTCACTGTCTATCTTAACCTTCAGTGTTTTCTCCCAATAACTTGAAGCACTCTGCAGAGCTTTCTGTTGACAAGAACAATGCACAAATAATCACTGATAGAAAAAGAAGCGAATAGTTTATACATTTTATTACCAAAATACATGATCGCAATGGTCATGAACTAGGTAGGTTCAGAATATGTGACTTTCCAAAGTTCATTTCCCTAACATTTGCGGTTAATTCTTACTTACTTACTTATTTACGTAGGCCTGTGACATATCGTGAAGGAGCATAGGCCGCTCACCGTCATTCTACGTCCATTTGCACTTAAGCAATTATTTGAGTGGGAAGTGCATGTTAATTATGGTGTTAGGCATTTACAATAAGTCTTCTCGTCGGATGTTGGAATCAGTTTTCTAGCAACCTGAAGCAATTAATTTGCGCAACACAGTAAAGCAGTGAATCTTCGTCGAACAAACTTTCGAAAATTGCGATTACCCCACAAATCATCGTACATAAAGTACCTACCATTCGAAATAACTTCTCTTCATTACCCATGATTCTAGTAATGAGAGTGTTACAAAGTCTCATGAACTATTTTCAAGAATCCCCAACTGAACGATAGTTATATATTTGTATATATAGGGTATGTTCAAAACAGTATTGTAAACCGTATATCGGTATAAGTTTGTTTTCTCAATTTTTAAACTGTTACGTTTTTCAACAGACTGTCGTGTTATTGGTTCCTAATTACGCGATCCTTGAAGCTGAAGATAAAATTACTAGGGAGATTACACTCAACATTCAGCACAATAGACTAGCTCGAAAACGATGAGCTTAGAAACACTCAATCAAGATGGAGTGGCTCGGTTAATGTGTACCTTTTTCTCTTTTGTGTTGAACAAATGATTATACTTTACCCATAATACGTTCTTCGAAATTATTGAACATAATATTGCCGATTTGTAAGAAACGAAGTGTCAGTATAGAAAATGATGAGACTTCCACGTATGATCTAATCGATTAGATAGTCAGATCATGAAAAATCGACAATTTCTGGATTATGTCTTTTATTGGAATTACAAAGATGAATGCACTAATACCTAGTTCGGCCATAGTTCTACTAGCTTATATATTCCTATGAGGATTATGACTTAATACTATTGAACCAATAATAAGTCCATAACACTTCTGTCAATACCGTATCGCGAACTGTCCGTAATACTGATCATATACATGAACGTTTTTCTATTTCCATTCACTTAAATAACGAGAGGGTTTTCTAATTTAGCTATCGTCCAAATGTCGAACGTCTAACCAACTTACTAATTTATCACATCATCAAATTTGGAACTATAATCAAAAACAAGACTTACCTTTATTTTCGGAAAGGCTCGATTCTGTTCAAAATCTTCATCATAAACTAAGATGATTTGCAACTGTTTATTGGTCAACGATCTTTTCTGTAAAGTTTATGGATAAGTATAATGTTCCCGAAGCAGAGGTTTGTTCAGTATTCTCATTGATCACTTACCTGTTGTTCTTGGACCACTTGCTGGTCACGTTTACCAGTCACCGATTTCAACAGTACAATGCACAGGAGGACAAATTTGTAGATGTTCATTAGTATACTTCACAGTGAACCACCGTGTATTACGTTTCTGAATGTATTTATAATAGATGATGCATGTGAACTCCCACAATTTTTTTCATTATGAATACAGGTCCTAGTAAATATTTCTCATGTCCTTGTTTGAACTCTTTTCTAAAAGTTTGCTTACAAATCAACATGATGGATTTGAAGTGTGTGAATAATCAAAGGTCTCTTTTGAGGTAAATCTCTCAACTGATTTTCCACAAAGGACACGATAAATGCACTTCACATGGCTCATCTTGTGTGTACTCTAGCTTAACAAAACCGTACTTTCAATTAAATTTTTGTTGTTGTACAAATCTTACGTGGTTTTCACAGCATTAGCAAGCTGGTCGTCATCGGCTGAGCCAGCATATTTCGTTGTAATAATAAACTGAAAACAAAACTCCTTGAAATCATATTCAGCGCAAATTGTACAAAAATTCGAATAATCAGAAATTTTGAAATACGTACTGCTCCATGCTAATCATCATCCACTGAACCTGTTAATATTTTGTTGAATGTTAATTCAGTAATTCTATTCTGAAAGTTGTGTATCGACTTGAGAATTCAATGTGCCGTAACAGATATTTAGATTCACATACTAAAATATCAGTAAAACGAGAACTGGTGTTAATAATAAACTACAGCGTTTTCCAGTGTAATGTCTGTGATTATTCGTCAAGATTGAAACGAATATTCCCACAGTAGAAGTCATGAGTAAATCTAAGCTACACCACCATTGAAAACGTGGAAGCACTGGACAGAAGTTTTTTCCTAGTGTGAGACTACTCAACAGAGCACTTTCACGATCATGCATGTGATTTTAACTGTGGAAATACTACAATTTCCACAAATCCCTTTGCTGATTTAAGCGGATCGTTCGACAGATATTTGGCAACAAGTATGAAGAATATACTTAGTTGAAAACTTTCATTTGAAATGATCAAAGTGATTGAACGCTGAGTGATGAACACATTATGTTGAGAAAGCTTTTATAAACACTTTCAGTGTAGTGATCAAATAAAAACTTCATATATTTCAATTCGCATGCCAATCATGAGGAGACAATCACCAAAAACCCGTTAGAACAACCGTTTTGTTTAAGTGATCAGCCACGACGCTTTATGCATAAATCATGTTCGAACTATCAAATTACACGCGCACACTTTCAAAATGACACCTCGGAATTGGCGTCAAAAATTGTTGAATACCAACATCTATCGATGTTGAAACACAGAACTTATTTTGGCGGAAACAGACGTCAAGTTGTATAGAGGGATAGAAACAAAATTGATTTTGAAAAGAGCAAGAACAAAGATTCCAGCAGAATAGCATGGATTCATTTTATTTCGTAGGTTCTCATCAGCTGCTTACAATCTGTGATATTTAAAAATCATAATTACATAATGGATTTAAATTGCTTACAGAATATTGTAAATATATACCTAATGTGAAAGAATATTCTACAACATTAATTGTGACAACAGTTCAAAAGTGGGTTAGAAACAATGGATTACATAATGAATAAACATTGATAGGAATGTAGTGAGTAGAGTTCAGTTGAAAGATTATTAATTTGAAAGATAGTTGAAAAATAAAATAAAATCAATGATGCAATAGATGCAACAGAAAAAAGAAAACATTTTTAAGGTTCAGTGAAGAAATATTTGTCACCAGGGCAAGGATAGATTAACCACAGTCTCCTTTTGAATACATAGGTCAGGTTTTTGACGCCTGATGGCAATGGCTTCAGCCAATTTCAGAAGCCTGGAGTTTGGCTGCTTACTAATCACCCTGAAATATTGTAAGGTATCTACCTGATGCGCTGTATCAAGGAGATGTTTCATGATTGCACTGTTTAGAGTCTTTCTTTCCCTTGTTATAGGATTTTTTGCAACATGTTCAAAAAATCTAAGATATGCTCTCCCTTCAGTTCGGCCGACGTAGCTGTGTTAGGTTCGTTAACCTTGAGGATACTACTGATTCGACTTATTCGGAACGGAACGAAGGCTTAGAATTCAGAGACTCAATAGACTGTTCCGGTCCGTTGTCTTCGACTCAGCTAACTCGATCAAGAAGTCTTGATAAGGCGTAGAAAGTGTATTCTACAAGCAACAGCAGATACCAAGTCAGGTCAGGCAGATCAGATCAAGCATACAAGTCAAGCGTATTTATACAAATATATATCGATTTTGTCATAGGAAATTTTTTAAACAATAATCAATGAGTCATCAATTGTCTGCTATTTAAAAATTTAATCGATAAGTTCATCAACTGACTGCCATTCAAATATTTAAACATTTAATCGATAATTTAATCGATATGATAAATTTCGATAATGCAATGAGAAGACGTAGTTTATCAGAATTATGTGATATATTTGCGCAATACATTTCGAACAATCTGATAAAATTACAAAATATGAGTTTGAGGATGTATCGGCCCCAAAAAGCTGCTTTGGCAGGTACATGTACATTTATAAATACAGTTGGCGGTAACATGAAAGCGTTGCTTGTCGATCTTTGATTGGGTTATTGAACATGTTGTTTTATCGAGAGTTAAAAGTTTAGCAGTCGGATAAGTTCTAGATAGAGCAGTGCTCAGTCTTCTGTTGATTATTTGTGCGACGTTATCACCTTCAAAATTAAGATTTATATATAATGGCTTTTTTATTGACCGTAGTTATTTCGGTGTTGTTTTCTTTGGGCTTTTTATATTTGTTAATAAACTTTTGTGTATAGAAGTTGTCTTTTAGACATTTTTCTGCGTTCATTATTTCTTCTTCCAGTTTGTCGGTGGCATATATCTTTTCTACCCTGTAAAATAGTGTTTTAACCAATGCCTTCTTGTAACTAATTGGACAAATACTATTAAAATTTAGGTACAGGCCATTTCAATTACTTTTTCTATAAACTGAACGTTGGACTGTCCTGTCTCCCTTGCGTTTTATGACAATATCAAGAAAGTGGAACATGTCCTTCTGTTCGTGTTCCATAGTGAAAGGTATGCTAGTGTGAGCGTTATTGAAAAGTTTTAGCAGGCGGATCGCACGCTGTTTATTGTTACAGTAAATAAATGTGTCATCCACATATCTGTAGTATTCCGTTGTTTCGCTAATTGCCTGCTTAAGTACCGTGTTTTTAAGATACCCCATAAAAAAATCTGCCAGAATTGGACCTAGTGGGCTTCCCATAGATTTGGGGATATATGGCGTTATAGTTTTTTGAATTCTGGGGCTGATAAAGGTAGCAGATCATCATTGTGACAAATTATATCAATAGTTTCAAAATGTGGTATATTGGTGAACAGGGATGTTACATCAAAAGAGACCATGAACTTGTCGGTAAAATTCGTATTATTTAGTCTATCAGCAAACTGGCATGAATCTCTTAGCGTATACGTTGCTAATCTATGACGAACCGGTTCTCGTTTTACTGCTAACCAGCGTGCGACTTTATGATACGGTGACTTGATCACTGATAGGTTAGGTCATTATGTAATCAATTGTTTCTAACCCACTTTTGAACTGTTGTCACAATTAATGTTGTAGAATATTCTTTCACATTAGGTATATATTTACAATACTCAGTTAGCAATTTAAACCCATTATGTAATTATGATTTTTAAATATCACAGATTGAAAGCAGCTGATGAGAACCTACGAAATAAAATGAATTCATGCTATTCTTGCTTTCTTCAAAATTATAAAAGGAACTATGTGTATGAAACAAAATTGATTTAATTGTTGATAGGAATCTGTCAATGCCTGACTTAGTGTATTCTATCTGTTCTTTCCATCGTGATTCGACTAGCCTCTACGTATAGTGCCTTTGCTGCCAACCTTATTTTTTATGCGTCCAAACATTACATCTTCAAAGTTGATTTTGTGAACTACTTCCAAATGCCTTGCAGCTATTGCTGA